CTAACAGGCCCAGGTGTGGCTCAACCCACCAGCCCAGAGGGCACAAGTGGCAATCTTTGGCAGCATCCATGTGGTGCTAATTCTGCAGGTGTGTAGAATGCAAGAGCGATGGAAGTATGGTTTCCTACACCTAGATTTCAAAGGATGTCTTGGACAGGCTGGGGGCCCAGTCAGAGACTTGTTGCAGGGGTGGAGCCACCTCAGAGACCTCCCACTAGGGCAATGCCTAGTGGAGCTGTGGGAGCCAGCCCATCCCTGAGACCCCAGAACTGTAGAACTACCAGTGTGCAACTCCAGCCTGGGAGAGCTGTGGGCACAAGACCCCACCCATGAGAGACACTGTGTGGGATGAGCCTAGCAAAGTCATAGGGGCAGGACTGTCCCAGACCTTGAAGACCCAACACTCACCCCAAGGTGCCAAGAAGGAGGGACATAGCATCAAGGAAGACTATTCTGGAGCCTTAAGATTTAATGTTGTTCATGCTGTTGGGTTTTGGACTTACTTGGGACCAATTACCCCTTTTTTCTTCCGTTGCTTTCTTTTGTAATGCGAATGTCTATCCTATGCTTTTCCCACCATTGCATTTTGGAAGTAGCTACCTTGCCTGATTACACAGGCTTGCAGCTAGAGGGAAATTTGCCTCAGTATGAATCATGCCTTGAGTCTTATCCACATCTGATCTAGATGAGACTCTGGACTTTGGTTTGTGCTAGAAAGAGTTAAGACTTTGGGGCAATTAGGAAGAAGTGAATGTATTTTGCATGTGAGAAGGACATGGATTTTGGGGGCCAGGGAAACAATGGCATAGTTTGAATGTGTCCCCCAATGTTCATCCCTAAATTTTGGGGGGGGGGAAATGATCACCAATGCAATAGTATTAAGAGGTAGACTTTTAAGAGGAGATTAGGCCATGAGGGCTCTGCCGTCATGAATGGATTAATGCCATTACCATGGGAGTGTGTTCCTTATATAATAAAAAGATGAGTTCAATGCTCTCTTCCTCCCCCTCCTCTTTCCTCCTCCTCCTTCTCTTTGCCCTTCTGTCATGGGATGATGCAGCAAGAAGGCCTTCATAAGATGCCAGCCTCTTAATCTTGGACTTTCTAGCCTCCAGAACTGTGGGCCAATACATTTCTGTTCATTGTAAATTACCCACTCTGTGGTATTCTGGTATAGTAGCACAAAACGGACTAAGACAAAAGGTAAAAATTTTTGCATTGAATTCCTATTTTTTTCTATGTAGTGTTCATTTATTTTGTAAAGTCAGTGAAGCTAAGATAAATAAGAGTAAGAGAAACAATTTAAAAGATATTGGAACTGAATCATGCCATTTTTTCCAGTATTGTTACTTTGTTCAAGTTAGGAAACCTAAATCTGGATACATAATTAATTGACAGGTCAGACCCCTGGGTATTCCTGGTAAATCATTTTATGTTTTATACTTGTTCAATTGAGTTCAATTTACTAGTACTTCATTTGGAATGTCTGCATGTATCTTAAGTGAAATTGGCCCAGATTTTGCTTTTT